CGCACAAACAATATATCATATGAAAGCTGAGCTTCCACAGATTCCAATGGTATAAGTATCATCACTGTGCGACCAGAACTCACGGCAGCGAAGGCCAGCAAAGACAAAACACAACTTCACTTTACGGGGCCAAAACAGCAAATACGTCTTACCTTTGCTGTTTTCTGATCAAAAGTTGTGTTCAAGGGCATTAAAACGCATATAAACGCTTCTGAAGGTTAATCCAATGTCTCTGTGTCCCTTAGAAATGATTACTGATAATCCATCATAACATTTATGTCAATTAAGAGTAGTTTTCAAAACCTTTCATATATAGCTGCTATGAGAGCTACGAGAGTGTATGAGAGCTTCCGGTTTTGGGCATGCTGGCTGCGCATCACTCTCATTCACCAATGGTAATGTTTAAATGGATTTAGGAACTCCCTCTCGATTCTATTGGCTCTAATGGTTCAAAAGAGGTGTCAATCCTCAAAATCGACCAATGGGTTCCAGAGATATGGCAAATACACCCAAATGACCCCAGAAGTGTTTTTTTGTTCTAAATCTCTCTAAAAAGGTCAAATGTAACTTGTTTTGCATCAATCTTGATACAGGGTACTTATGATATGTTATAGTTTGGATTCCTAAAGCTTTTGGTCTACTGTCGCATCATCCAAGGGTGGTTTTCACTATAAGTAATGTTTTATTTTTGGACAGAAACTATAATTTTTTTTTTTTTTACTATGTTCAATCTGAATTTGCTTTAAAATAAAAACATCTATATTGATTCTGTCTCTTCTACATCCAACTCACAGGTGTAGCATTGCTTTGAGAAAAAAGATGATTAATTTACCCCTTTTTAGAAGTGAAGATATAGTCATTTGTTCTGGGCATGTCATTTTCGAGCCTGAGACCTGAAAAACAGGCTCAGGGCTTAACAGGTTAAATTAATGGATCAGTTGCATATATGATTTAAAGTCTCACCTATTAGCTTTAAAGTGCACTTTATTGATTTGGCATATTTGTATTTAAGTCTTGGAGTGTATGCTCTATTTAGTGCCCCAGGTAGTGACCATGGTAGAGCTGAATCCAGCCTTTATTTTTCTTATTAAATTATAGTTTCATCTATAAAGTGAAAATTATGAACCTTGGACTTCTTTAATATCCTAAATCCCTAGAAGATGTATTCAATCAACAATCCAATACCCTTAAAATATTAATTTCACCCTCGGATATGATGTAAATCACCAAATCACCAGAATAAAGAAACTTCAACTAGAGAATGTTTGGAGCCAAAAAGGACTAAAATGATGAATCGATTATAAAAATAGGTGCAGATGTCTTACATGCCAATTGACTAACTAGTAGATCAACTTGTTACAGCAGTGTCTGTTACAGAGGAATCATTGAATAGAACTGGTCAGTCACAGTCTAGATCAGAGTTTAAAACATGCTCACCGAAGTATTCAGAGCACACAGAGGGGACGTCATTTAATTTGTAAGTCCATCAAGTTTTCATGTTATGTGAATAATTGCCATTCCTTAGTTGACAATATGTCTCTCTCTCTCTCTCTCTCTCTCTCTCTCTCTCTCTCTCTCTCTCTCTCTCTCTCTCTCTCTCTCTCTCTCCCTCAGCCTGGATCCAGAGCAGAAGGAGCAGCTGATCGAAGTGATAGAGAAACTATTGAAAGACAAAAGCACAGTAAGTACAAAGTGAGAGCTTTACAGTAAATGTCCCATGATGAAAAGCGCAGACCACTGGAGGGCGCCCCAGTCAAGCAGTTCTCCTCTCAGCTCTCCATCCCACAGCTCATTCGGCAATGCCATGGTTTGTTAACACCCACTTAAACCCACACATCTTCAGATGCTCCTTGTTAAGTGTCCATTTGGAAGGAATCTTCGCACTGATGCTAGTGTCAGCTTAATTTTCTCAAAGGCCAACTTCTTCTCTTTTCCCCCCCCAAAAGTGACCGTAAATGAGTCGGAGTCTCACATTTGGTGTTTAGGCCGTCAGAGACACAACACAGGCAGCCCATTATAAGTCAGCATGCAGCACATTAATTTGAGGAGGTCACAGTGAATACTAAGGGTGTTTAAATGCCAATTTCAAATATGTAGACGTTGGCTCCAAAATGCAGAGGGTTTGTACGTGCGAGTCATGCACAGTTTGTGGTGTTTATGTATTCATAGCATATACCTATCATTATACAAACAAAACAAGGCAGCTTAGGCCAAGGGGGGATGGAAAGCCCAGTACCAGATGCATAGCATATTTAGCCCCGGACGCTAACGAAGACAGATGACTTCTCCCCCGTTGGAGCCCACATTGTGAGGCTGGGGACAGGGAGAGAGGGCACTATCATCACACAGATGCACGAGCACTATCAGTCGCTGATGAATGGGGGGAAATCTAAACATAGTGAATACGTAATGGATTTCTAGCTATGCATTTTTAAAATGCTAAGTCGCGACGATGAAGAATTTAGAAGTCCCACAACAATGGTCAGTCCTCTTGCCATTTATCAAAGGCTGAACATGTTGACGGGTCACAGATTTGACTTAAATATGTTCAGTTCACCAGTCATGAGGAGAACTGCGCTGCCTAGGAAAGTGGTTGTAAAATGTCTTCTGTAGCTCTGCAGGAGTTTTGTCCACTCTGAGAGAATATCCCCTGATGATGTCATGATGGTTATTTGAGCTTGGGAAATGACACATTGTTTACAGCAAGCTACAGTATTTGTTGAGTGTCATGTTTGAAAGATAGCGAAATTGCAAAGCAGGGATTGAAGCATTAAACCTTATCCTATATACAGTACCATTCCAGCCAAACAACTGCACCACACTTTGAACATGTTTTTTTCTTCTTATTTCGTTTTTTGACAATCACCAAACTTGCTTTTTATTTGTTTGTCTTTACCAAACAGCAATGCAAATTCGTTATGTATAAAAATGTACTAATTCTGTGAGTTGTTGCCTTTTCTATGTGAAAATGACTCACACCTACAAGCAATTTACACTCGTTTCTGCATAGCTTACTTACTCTTAGATACTGGGTAACTACACTACTTCTACCGCTTTCTATACTGTAGCAGTTAAAGCGTAGCTAATTTCTGTTAATGATTGTTTAGTTCCATCAAGTGTCCTAATCCTAATGTTATTAATTACACCTGCTTGTCCTGCTCTAAAAAAAAAAATGCTGTAAAAGCTTTATTGCCACCTTAATGTATCAGTTCATCACCCATATTTCCAGACATCTAATAATGAGTTATGTGTTAGTGGATCGATTTAACTGCAAATAAGTGAATTCATTTAGGAAACTGGTATTTAGCTGACGTCAGTGTGCTGCCTGTAGCACACGGAAACATTTGCTTATTGTTCCAGTGTGTTTCTGTCCGGGCCTCCTGACATTTACCTTTACAGATGTGCCTGTTTGGTTAAATGGCTGTGACACGCGGCGGCCTGCTTATAGGCAGGATGGTTTAAAGAGAAAATGGGAAGGGCCCGATGACAGAGACAACATAGGAGTTTGTGCAGCTGTTTTACCGTGATGGATCTATTATCCAGCCATTACAAGATAAATGATCGATCCCTCCCACCACCCCGCCCCCCTACACCCTCGGCAAAATTGAAATGAGAACAGAAAGGAGGGTGAAGGGGGGGGCTATGATAAGGGGCTAGGTGTGATGCCCATTAATTTAAGAGGGAAAAAAGTAGGGAGGAAGGAGAGGAGCGAGGGAAGGGAGGATAGGCCGACCCCACACCGGGCCATCAATCAAAAAGCCGCACGTTGTCTCTGGCGTGATGACCCAGCGCTTTCTGCCTCCCTGGCACCCTAATTAGAATTCATAGCAAAATAGATGCAAGGAAATGGTTTGGGCCCCTTCATAATTTTATAGGAAATTTATTGTTATTAGAAGAACCATTTGCTTAGTGTGATTTTTCCATTACCGGCTTGTCACGCAGGCTAGATAATACGGTCGAGGAGGGGGGAGGCGGTGTATGAACTCCATAGATTGGGGTGTCAGTTTTGTTGATGGTGCATGTAGTTTACCTTGGAACTGTGTCTAATGGGGGAAGCTGGTGGAGAATGCACAAAGCCTTGCAGCAGGATCCACATGCTCAGAAACACTGCTGCCTGTAATAGCCTCAGAGACAGGAGAGGCCTTGGGAGAATACCAGGGGAGAGAAATACATGCTGAATTGACTTTATGTACTCTAATTGACTGCTTTGAGTGTGTTTATTGGCAGATATATTAACTAAAAACACCTGCTTTACTTCAAGCTGCTGCAAAGCAACTTTAACATAGATATGTAAAGCCATGATTTTGTTTAGTCTATACACTGGTAACTGTGAACATTTGTCATTGGAAGTACTTCCCATTACTCCCTATTAGGCCTGCAAATAATGATTATTGTCAATTTTCCACCTCCTTAATATTTCTTAAAGAATCATTCGTCTATAAAATGTAGGAAACATTGAATAATGCACATCTCAGTTTCCTAAAGTCCAATGTGATGCTTTTTAAATGTGGTAGTTTTTTCAGTCAAAAACCCAAAGATATTCTATTTCATATCTAAAACGGAAAACAATCATGACATTTCATTTTGAAATAGTGCAAACAGCAATTTTCAAGCAAATATTTTTATTATTGATTATTTTCTTCTCCTATTAATAGACTAATCCATACTGCTGTAGTTACCAAAAAAACAGTTTGTATCACATTTTGTGGATTATCAAGAATGATTATATAAATTGGATGTCTAGGCTTTCATAAATAAGCTCTCAGTTTATTAGCTATGTAGTTTGCTAAAACAAATGCAGTCTATTAAAACAAAAAATCCTTTTCAGTCAAGGTAATAATGCTTATTTTTGGTGAAATCGTTTAGATATGTGCTGATCAAATCATTTGATCATTTGAAGGATATAGTGTTGATTTAATCTGTATTGCACACATAAAAACTGAGGTATTGTCTGTTATATAACCTGTTATTGTTGATATAAATAGGTTGGACATAATATTAGAAACAGCTATGCGTATAATGCAACATATCTCAAGAGCATCATCAACTGCAGTCTCCAAAATGGTCATACAGCTGAATCTACACCTCCTTTATCTTTATCATAATATGCATTTTCATGCCAGACTGTTGGTATTACGCTAGCTTGATCATGTTATTACACTTACTGGATCTACCTGCACGTGTCACTGTTTAAATGTAACTAGAATTGATGTGGGTTGTTCTATATATTTAACTTCATACATCAGTGCGATGCCATAAAAAGCAGTTGTTTGATCCTGCAGTGATCCATTCATCAGTATTAGTGTGTAGATGTCAGAAATGCTAATCATCACTCGGATTTAAGGTCCAGATTTCTCAGAGAATATACAGACGGCAGCCGTGCACACACACACATATCATACACACACTCAAACACAATCAATGCAGGCTCATGACAATGCTGATGGGTAAATGCACCGGGTTCCCACAGGGCCACCGGGGCCAGAAGGCTTTAATTGGGAAGACCAGATTCTGCTGCCTCTCTCTTCTTCTCCACCCTCGCCTGCCCATGATAATGCTGTTTGCATATTAATACACCGCCATGTCACTCACTCAGTCTCACAGGCAGTCAGTGAAGCCAGCACGCAGTTGGGTGGTGGGGGGGGCAGCCAAATGGGTTAAAAAAATCTAAATACATTTTCTCTCTCAGCTGCTGCTTCCTCCTTGGCCGCCTTGCTCTGTAAATTGAACATAAAGTGGGTTTTGTATGTGAGAAAATGTTAATTCATGGGGAAAATAGGTCTCATTGATGGATTTATTTCACAGGGTTGAGTCAAATAAATGAGTTAAAAATTCAAGTGCAAACCTTCTTTCCTTCTAATTATCAACTACTTAGAGGCGGAGCTGTGTGTATTGTAATGAATGGTTTAAATTGGCCTTTTTCTTTTTTTAAAGAGGAATTATCGTGTTTTTTCTTCTTCCAGGGTCAGATCTGTTAACCAGTCTTTATTTCTCTAGAGTTTTTAAATTACCACTTAGTTAGAGTTAAAGTATTTGTTCAATTTGTCTGCTACATATCCTCTCAACTTCCATTAACTCCAATGCTAATACTGGAGAGGAATAAATACAAAACAACAGCATTTCCCTTGAGTTGTTTAATTTTACATGTTTTTCTACTTGTCTCCGTTCCTTTCTGTAGCTGGTGGCCGGCAGTGTGGTGATGGCTTTTGAGGAGGTGTGTCCGGATCGCATTGACCTGATCCATAAGAACTACAGGAAGCTGTGTAACCTGTTGGTGGATGTGGAGGAGTGGGGCCAGGTGGTCATCATCTCCATGCTGACGCGCTACGCCAGGACGCAGTTCACCAGTCCCTGGAAGGAGGTGAGGCACTCATCACCTGAGGAAGTGGCATTCACAATATACCTACTTGTGTATTTATCTACTTTCAGGAAATAGTCATCAACAAATGCACTATATCCAGCTGTTTGAAGAAACTACTAAAATGACATCTTCAACAGGAATACAGGCTGGGAATTTCCAAAAGTATTTAGAGAATAGCACCTCCCTTATCCAATTTTTAAAGTATCATTTTAAATGTTTATACTGACACACAAATCTGTGGGAAAGTCAACTTAGAGATTTGAGTTAAACTTCTGTATTTAGATTTAAAAGATTGGGTATTTAAATGACTTTTTTTTACAAACTACATTTTTGAATTTGAAATACATTCAGATATTATCTGCACAAAAATGGTTTCTGTGTAAATGTCAAATGGCTCCTCTATAGAAGAGAAGTTAAAAGAATAATTCATTATTGTAGCACTGAAAAAAACAGGTTACTATAAAAGAAATACTGTCAATATACAACTCTGTGTGTCACTCAATTTGCTCAATCCACCTTGAAGTTTGGGCAATTGTCTCTCACAATAATCCTCTGAAAAACATTGTGCTTTAACGTAATGTTTGTGCTGTCTGTGTTTCAGGGTGCCACATTTGATGAGAACAATGATAAGGAGTTCTATGACTCTGATTCTGAGGAGAAAAAAGACACGACGGAGGCCAAGCCTTACATCATGGATCCAGATCACAGACTGCTGCTGAGGAACACCAAACCTCTGCTGCAGAGCAGGAACACTGCTGTGAGTGAGCTGGACACTTAAACACACATATACAGCCACATTCAAGTAGTGTGTAAATGTGTGTGCTGCTTAAACCTGGATGAAGGTTTCTGAGTGCTTCCTCTTCTCGTATCTCAACACGGGCTTAAGATAAAAGCTACTCTGTAGTCTTTTACTGTATAGATGAACACACACTTTTAAATTCATTTCCCAGCAGTAATGCATTTCAAAATACCTTTTCTTCCACAAATACAACACCGACCCTAGAAACTAAACACACACACACACACACACACACACACACACACACACACACACACACACACACACACACACACACACACACACACACACACACACACACACACACACATACACAATACACACACACACACAC